ACACTCACACACACACACACACGCTCCCTCCCTCTCACACACCCCCACACTCCCACACACACACACACACACACACACACACACACACACACACACTCTCACACACACACACACACACACACACACACACACACACACACACACACACACTCACACACACACACACACACACACACACACACACACACACACACTGTGTGTGTGCGCGCCGTTCATGTGTGCGTATTAGTAGTTACCTTAACCTCGTGGTTATTTTCTCGCTAATCTCTATATCGCTAATGCTAATAGATAAATATACGTGAACGGCTTCTCTTTCATCGCAGGCGATTCCCGCGCTCACGTCATTCTGTCTGTACGCGACCTTCTGCATGGTGTGCGTCTTCTTCCTCACCTGCACGCTCTTCGTCGCCTGCGTGGCGTTAGATCAGAGACGAGCCGACAAGCACTACGACGCCTGCATCTGCTGCTACAGGCACAAGGACTACGAACCATCGGATTGCAGCCAGATAGACCGGTGCGTCCTCCGTAAAAATAGAGGGCGCGCGCGATTGCATCGGTCGATTTTTGATCGGGGATAAGAAGCGATCGAAGGCGTCCGAGCAGGCCGCGTTGTATCGAATACTGTTCCAATACCTTATAATGTATTCAGTATTACTTATTATTTAATCAGTGAAGCCATGATGATGACTATGTTGCTCCGCGCGCTGTGCACCTCACAGACACGCGCGGCTACAGACACATTATTAGCAGGACATAAGACTCTCATATACATACATATATATATATGTACAATTACCACAAACAAAACTTCACATTTTCAGAATGCAGATGTTCTTCGAGAAGCTGATCGTGCCCGCGCTCAGAATGACCCCCGTCAAGGTCGGTATCGTTCTCGTCGTTGTCGGCCTGCTGGCGATGAACACGTACGGCGTCGTTAACCTCGAACAAGAGAACGACCTGCTCATCTACATTCCGTCGGACACGTACGCCTACGACTTCATGCTGGCGCTGCGCAAGTACTTCCCCAGTACTGGATTGACGGCCGCAGCTTACTTCGGTAATTCGAAGATGATAGGGAAAATTGAGCGGGCGGGCGGGGGATGATAGGAGGGTTTATAAGTTGATGTTTGAACGTGTGAGATCGGTTAATGGAAATTATCCTGGCAGTCAACAGTCATGCACCGACGTCCGAGCGCTATTTTTATGTACATTGGCATAGGTGGGAATCGTGGCGCGATGCTGCGAGCACAGTGAACTTTGTAGATCGGATTTTATCATGCACACGTGTCGCCGGCCCGCCTGGGTCCAATTTGAACGTATGAGATCGGCGGTTGAAAATTATCTTGGCAGTCAAAGGCGACCGACGACCGAGCGTTATTTTTTATGTACATTAGCATAGGTGGGAATCGTGGCGAAATGTATGTGGGATTAAATGGCAGAGTTTTATTCTCAGTAGGATGCGTTAAGTGGTGGCCAGTTCCCAAACACCGGCATACTGCGGCAATTCGATTCGAGAAAAAAAAATTATGGAAAAATGAAGGTGAAATCTTAGTATTTAATAGATCGGAGGAATTAAACTGCAGGGGGGTTTGTTCTCGAATTATTCGTTGGTCGAACGATTGAGCGCCTTCGCATTGCACTGCATTTGCGATGTTAGCGCAGTGGGAACTATAGAGAAGAAATGCGTAATAGTAAGGAATAGGCTAGGACTCTGGTTGGGGTTTACCCTAACGTGCGGGTCATTGTGCTATACGTATTGCTCGCACTTATAATAGGTGTTAATATAGAAAAACTATAATAAAGTCTCTAAAAAGAACAACAATGCCTGACGTCAACAACAACTCCGATAAAAAAAACCGCGAAACAAACCCAAAAATAATGCTAATCCGTTGGTATAGTACAATATTCCCACAGTGATTAACTAATAACCTCAGCGGGATCATCATTAAATAATTACGATAAATAACGTATAGATGATAAACACAAATAGTGTGTCCGTACGGCACATTATAATCTGTGTGCGTTTGTTTCTGTAGCGGACGACGACTTTTACCTGAAACGGAACGTCATACTGAACATGACGACGAGCCTGCAGAATAACGAGTGGGTGTTGGCGTCGACCGTCGACAGCTGGATCGACAACTTCAAAAACTGGCTCGAACCGCAGGGCAAGCTACTTTGCGGAGCAACGCTAGGAAGCGGTAATTCTCACACAAACGCCACTCACTCGCGTTAATTCGCATTACATCTAAGCATGAGATAATAATAGAAGTATTATCAGCTCTTGTTATAAGCCGTCTCAAATCACGCACGTGTTATGTATCTGAAGCCGATGTAAATTAAACAGGCTTACAATTGATTGTCGACTGAACTACGCGCGCGGTAAACGGGCGAGTTTTATTGTAATTAAGACGGTTTACAATTTAGTGTGCACTTAAACGCGCACGCGGTAAACAGTGGTTCTTATTATAAGCTGGCTCATTGATAGGATGATTCAAAAAGTGCTGTTTAGAGGGGGGTACATAATATATGACCTGCGTAAAACGTAGGTAATTTCGCTCGCGGTCAGTGCCACGGGGTAATCCTAAGCAGTGAAGGTTAATGTGGGTAACTGAACCGACATCAGTATGGTGAGCTTCAGTCATGCAAACAGCACGTATATACGTAAACAAGATCATCAATGTTGTATTATACAAATTGCAAATTTGAATTAAAAACTGTGCAGATGCAATAGATACATGCAGATACATAAAGGAGACGCGATTGTGATCAACTGCCCCCCCCCTACCTGTTCTTACCATGTTGCGAGCAAGATTCGTGTGATCGCGTTTATGTAAAATTCACAAGTCTTCTTCTTCAACATACAACGTTTCTGCTTCGCACAGATGGCTTTCCTAATAATGAAACGGACTTTTACGCATGCGCGTACTACTTCGTGACGGAGAGGCGGGCTAGGTACGTCGATCACGTCAAATTCAACAATGAAACACAACCTCCAACTATCGTTGTAAGTTGTTTGGATTCGTGCAATAATTATGTCTATTCCAGTAGCGGCAGCAGCAGCAGCAACAGCAACAGCAACAGCAACAACAACAGCAACAGCAACAGCAACAGCAGCAGTAGTAGCAGCGGCAGCAGTAGTAGCAGCGGCAGCAGTAGCAGTATAGCAGTAGCAGTAGCAGTAGCATGCAGTAGCATGCAGTAGCAGTAGCAGTATAGCAGCAGCAGTAGCAGCAGTAGCAGTAGCAGTAGCAGCAGTAGCAGGTAGCAAGTAGCAGTAGCAGTAGCAGTAGCAGTAGCAGTAAGTGCAGTAGCAGTAGCAGTAGCAGCAGTAGCAGCAGTAGCAGTAGCAGTAGCAGTAGCAGTAGCAGTAGCATGCAGTAGCAGTAGCAGTAGCATGCAGTAGCAGTAGCAGTAGCAGTAGCAGTAGCGCAGTAGCAGTAGCAGCAGCAGCAGCAGCAACCCCCGCGTATTTGTTATTCGATCTTCTATTTTCTAGATAGTATTATTAACCATATTTGGTTTACAATGATGATCCACATAATTAGTGAAATAGAAATGCTGTCTACTTCACGAACCTCTCACCTATGCAACATTCTGCCGTGACTTGTGGATTCTGTGGTTGTCTGTGAGGGAGAGTGTGCGTGCGTACGTGCGTGAGTGTGCGCGTGGATGCATGAGTGCTCGCATGCGTGCGTGCGTGCGTGCGTGCATGCGTGAGTGCGCGCGTGTATATCTTAGATAGAAAGATATAAATACGTTTACGATTTTCTCTCTCTATCTCTCTCTCTCGATGATCTCTCGCTCTCTCTATATATATATATATTATATATATATATATACATATATAATATAATATCATATATATAATTAATATATACATATATATATATATAACTACATATATATATATTTATTCATGAATTTTATGATAGCCATCCGTATACCGTGACATTTCCAACAGGATGGCGTCCATATAGTTGTTGTTGCTGTGTGTAGGACTGTCGCATAACCTTCACCACGTGTCTGTGCGAACCCTGGGAGGACGAAGCCAAGCTCTGGACGACATGTCGCGCCCTGGCGGATCAAACTAGACTTCGGTTACATGTTCTTTTGGTCGGAAATTATGTCAACTGGTTGATGGATCAGGTAGCTATATATTTACATACGATAATCCGTGAACGCGAGTGTTTGCGCATAGAGTCGTTGTTAGAGTGGCGGAAATATGACACGTTATATCTTATATAGTAGTTTGGATTTACAGTGCATATTTCCGTATTACGTCATGAATCAGGGCACACGTAATTATGGCAACCTTGTAACGAAACAATACCACACCACGCCATAAATTACAAAATTTATTATTAATAACATTAATCATAAATCGACGCCTTCCTTATTTTAGATTATCGAACGTGTGTTAATTACGAACATGCTTCTCGCCATGGCTGCGGTATTCGTTATGACACTGCTCCTGCTCTCAGACCTGCTCACAAGCATTCTAGTGTGACGTGCGTGTTGCGACCATGGTAAGTCCCCAAATAGATTAAGAAATTAATTAATTTAGATTTTATTTTAACAGATGTGTTTCGCCTGCGAGAGTACTATTTATGACCAACCATCCACACATTGTCCACAGCTCTGATGGACGCGGCACACATCAAAGGGATAGTACGGTAGATGACCACCAGGGGCTGGCCGTTTGAACCAAAACATTTTCTCATCGACATGTGCTATTTATGTAATAATGGCTTTAGTTTTTTTTAATTTAGCAAATTTAAAAAAATTATAGTTATTGATATTTTGTAGGGAAAGAAACCTATATACACATGCTTTTTGATCTGCGTGTAAAGTTCACTGCTTTTATTTAATTTAAGAATTAACCCTGATTTTTAATAACGCACCGATGCCCTAAAGGCGACAATTACGATAATCTCGGCTTTGTTCCACTTCTTTACTCTCATGATGACAATGCGATTGATTATACGAGAAAGAGTTACTGAAGACCCACGATCTGTTCTGTGTGTATACACGCCATATAAAAAAGCGCGTTTGTATCTGTGCGTGCGTGCGATCCTCTGCATGCGTGCATATGTGTGCGTGCGGTCGTCTGCATGCGTGTATATGTGTGCGTGCGGTCGTCTGCATGCGGTGATATGTGTTGCGTGCGGTCGTCTGCATGCGTGCATATGTGTGCGTGCATATGTGTGGCGTGCGGTCGTCTGCATGCGTGTATATGTGTGCTGTGCGGTCGTCTGCGCGCGTGTATATGCGTGCGTGCGGTCGTTCTGCGCGGATGTATATGTGTGCGCTGCGGTCGTCGTGCGTGTATATGTGTGGTGCGGTCGTCTGCCGTGTATATGTGTGCGTTGCGCGTCGTCTGCGGCGTGTATAGTATGGCCGTGGCTCGTGCGTGTATATGTGTGCGTGCGGTCGTCTGGGGCATGTCGTGCGTGCGTCGTCTGCGCAGCGTGTATATTGTGCGTGCGGTCCGTCTGCGCGCGTGTATATGTTTGCGTGCGGTCGTCTGCGTGCGCTGCGTCGTCTGCGTGCGTGCGGTCGTCTGCGTGCGTGCGCTCGTCTGCATGCGTGTATATGTGTGCGTGCGGTCGTCTGCATGCGTGTATATGTGTGCGTGCGGTCGTCTGCGTGCGTGTATATGTGTGCGTGCGGTCGTCTGCGCGCGTGCAATGTTGTGCGTGCGGTCGTCTGCATGCGTGTATGTCTGCGTGCGGTCGTCTGCTGCGTGTATATGTGTGCGTGCGCGTCGTCTGCATGCGTGTATTGGTGCGTGCGGTCGTCTGCGCGCGTGTATATGTGTGCGTGCGGTCGTCTGCATGCGTGTATATGTGTGCGTGCGGTCGTCTGCTTGCGTGCATATGTGTGCGTGGGTCGTCTGCGCCGTGCATATGTGTGCGTTGGTCGTCTGCGCGCGTTATATGTCGTCGCGTGCGTCTGCGTCTGCGTGCCGTCGTCTGCGTGCGTGCGTGCAGTCGTTCAGTGCTGCGTCGTCTGCATGCGGTATATGTGTGCGCGCGGTTGTCTGCATGCGTGTATATGTGTGCGTGCGGTCGTCTGCGTGCGTGTATATGTGTGGCTGCGGTGTCGTCTGCGCGCGTGCATATGTGTGCGTCGGTCGTCTGCATGCTGTATGTGTGCGTGCGGTCGTCTGCGTGCGTGTAATATGTTGCGTGCGGTCGTCTGCATGCGTGATATATGTCGTGCGTGGCGTCTGCATGCGTGTATATGTGTGCGTGGCGGTCGTCTGCAGCGTGCATATGTGTGCGCGCGTGCATCCG